CAACGTATCGGCAGTTTGCATTTCAAATATTTGCTTTCGCGTATACCTTCTGGTAAAATGGTGAAAGAGTTTCTCAGATGAGCAGCTACCCTTTACACATACGTGGGACGTTTCGCTGTACCTGAGCACGATTTCGTTGCACCTCTTCTATTCTCTCGACGGGGTTGAGTGCTCGCATGACGAAGGGGAGGTGGGACTTTTTTTTTATTATTATTATTCTCGACCGGTTCTTTCGCTCGTTTCATTGTTTTTTTTCCTCCTGCTCATATGTTACCTGCACGAAAGCAGTCGCGTGGCACATTACAGCACACCGACGCCTAACCACATCGCATATATATATATATATATATGCACGCTTGCATTGTGAGATGGGTATCTCCTTTCGTAGGGGCATGTGCGCGTTGCGTTGCTCACGAAAGCCTGTAAAAGAGTTCAATGCTACTAAATCAATTTAAAACAATTTAGCGTCCTGCCCGTGTATAGAGCTGAGAGAGAAACGCGAGCACGCTTTTCAATGGGTTACTGACTTCTTCGCCGACGCCGTCGCTGCCATTCAAACAGGGCTCTTTCTCTCTCTCTCTCTCTCTCTCTCTCTTCTTCCTTTTCAAACGCGAGATGTGCACACAATAGGCCATTGACAGTTTTTGTACTTGCTTCTCTCTCGTACGAGCCTTAGATAGTTATACACCATGCAAATTCTATATAATTTTTACTCTCGTCTTTTCTTCATTTCTCTGTTTTTTTTTATTTTTTTTTATTTTAAAGAGCATGCATATGCTTGATTATTTTAATGAAAAAATTGGTATATTTTGCGGAGGTGTGACTACAAAACTAGTTAAAAAATAATTTTTTCCCTTTCCCATTGGCTATTCTATTTTCATAAGTGTTTCGTAATTTTATTTATCATCGATCTTTCGTATCTGCAAACGTTTTTTACCTTAAAATTTAATTGAGCAGTAGTCGCAGCACAGGTTGTACAGTTAAGTCGCCGTATACCGTAAAAAAATGCGCCGAGGTACGAGGCAAGTTATGCAAATTTTTCTTTTTTCGGGTAACTTTGAGACAAAAATTTCAATACTCCACGCGGGCAAAAGACCCCCGGAGTATGTAACGACGACAAGAAGCAGCAGCAGCAGATGGCTACGCGAATAAACGAGGCGTCGATGACTTTCGATCGGCGCGTGCAGATATCAATAATGAATGATTTTTGGCTGAAGGTAAACAGGTTGGCGGACGACGATTCGACGAGGACGTTGCGAATGCCGCTATTGTAAAAACAAGAAAAAGATCTCGGCCTTATCTACGCGACATCTAATTTTGTTTAGATACAAATGCAGTTTGTATAATTTTGAAAATAATTATCGTTCAATCATTATGAATTGGTTGATTGATGATAATTAAACTGTCATAGTCGTGCATCGAGGAACGTATATTGTCGACGCTATTGAGTAAACATCAACAATTATTAATTGTTCGTGATTGTAATTGACATTAAAACAGTTAAATCAATTAATTCACCAAAGGGGAAATGATGATTTAATTATAGAATGTTATGAACCATATCGTTGTATGAATGACAAGCCCGGAATAATAAAGCTTTTTTTCTTATCAGTAACTGTGCAAATCTGAAAGCGTCATTGTTTATTGTACTGGCATGCCAATCAGTAGAAGTCTTACGTGTACTAGCGTGAAAATTATCGATAAAATCATCCGAGCTCGGCTCTATGTGAAATAGCAGCTGACAGGTAGCGAACGATACACGCGTTGAAGGGCATGTCTCTGAAAAAATCTGCAAGCCAGCTGAAAATTAACGCGAAGAAGTAAAAGATCAAAGCTCCAGACAGTTGGCTCGATCGAAGCCATGAGATCACATTAGAGACGCGAGATCGAGCACTCTTTTCGGCAATCCGATACCCAAATGACATTGTTGAAATTTTCGACAGGTCCATTGGCGAAACGCACGACGGACGTGCTATGCTGGGGAGTGCCATACTGTCAGCGCGTCGCGTAGGCGCGGGCATATAGATGTTAATAACCGCGTGGCCGCCGATTAACCGACCTGGTAAACCGAGTAAAATATAACAGCAGCAGCCCCGCAGGCGAGAGCCACGATGCACATTAAGCTGTATACCTATATCTATCGCGTCTCGCGTGCAGGCAGCGGCGTGTTGCATCCACAATGTTTATTGAGGCTGACACGTTGCGCGCCAAGCGCACCTACTCTCTGTGGATACGCGATTTTGTTCTCTCGACCTTTCTTTCGTTTTCGTTTATTTTTTCGCTAATGGCTCGTGCGCGTTTTCCTCTTGACTGCATATTGCTTTTCGCATTTTCTCATATTTTTCGGCCTGGAAACCATTCCAATTTGCTTACAGAAAACTCTAAATAATTCATCGTTTCCTAAACCTCTGTTGCGTCGTCTACTTCTACATTTACACCATCGAAAATCTAATGATTCGGAGCAGTAACGAACATTAACGGAACACTCCAAGTGACATGAAACTCTCATGATAACCTCCAATCGATGGTCCGTAATGCCGAATTAATACCCGGGCCGAAATCTATGTAGATGTTATCGTCGAATCGGGCCGAATGTAGCGGTAATGTGCAACAAATTCCTCCATCGTCGAGGCTCGTTTTCTACACACGCACGCATACACATACAGACGCATGCACGCCCTTGGCTCGATTAACATATTGGCGGATTGGACATTCCCGTAATTTACCTTAGGCTCCTCGGCTTATCGGCGAATCTTAAGGTTTCTTCGGGTCCTTGTCGATACATCAGAATCTATCTGCATCGTTCGCCTGCGGTAAGATTGTCTGCTGCGGATGTTTTGGTCGCGTTTTTTCCTTAGAGAGAGGTTAATTAACGAATGTCTTAGAAAATCGAGCGGAGAGATAGAGATGTCTGTAACGAAAGGCTTTTTTATTTGCTTTTCGAGTATTCGAATGATAAACGCATTTTACTACGGAAGTTACGAAACAATGCAGGAGACTTGAAAACACGCGTGTACGATAGAATATTTAGCAATTAATTAGCTCCTATTGCGCATTGTAATGATATCTATATATTACTTTAATTGAATATAAAACACAGTACATGATCTTTTTAAACTCGAATTGCAGTAGAGATGTGAAAGCCAATTTTAACAGATTAATCTGATGATAAGTGAAATATTTTACAACAAAAGCCCATCCTACGAAACTTTCAATCAAGTAGAATCAAGTTCATCCGTATAATAGTATAATAACCAGAGTCTCCAGTCTGCCAGCTAACGTGCGCGCTGGGTATCCTGCTAACATGACGGATCCTCGCGTGCTCGCAAGCTTTGGCAATCGCGGACAATTAGATTTGGAGCTCTGGCTAAGTTAGTTTACGGAGACTGCGAGTATAGAATCTGGTCCGAATGGGCGTCGGACGGGGTCATACATACGAGTTTGCCCAGTAGGTCCGAATCATCGTCGTCGTCGTCGCCACCGTCGTCGCCACCGTCGTCGTCGTCGTCGTCGTCGTCGTCGTCGTCGTCGTCGTCGTCGTCGGCGGCGGCGGCGGCGGCTGGTCAGATCTGAGGCTGACGTGATGCGCGTCGGCTGCTAGTCCGTCCTTTGATGCATGATATTGCGAGAGAGAGAGCACGCTTCGGCAAACATGTCACGAGCAAGCCGAAACTGTTAGGATTCATAGTTATCTCAACGCCAAGCTATACTCCACCCACCAACCAACGCTGCTGCTGCTACTGCACAGCTCAGCTCTTTAGACAATATATAAGGGCCAGCGCGTGTGTATGGACGGACACACGCCGCCCGCCAAATTATCTGTCCGATGATTATGCGATCGGTCATACGTAACGGAGAGTATGCGTGTGTGTGTGCAACAGCTACCACCGAGAGAGACAACTGCTACGGTCGGCAAACTTATTGGACGTGTAAGCATTGCTCATGCGATGCTTTACGATACCAATATGTGCACTTGACATTGACTAGGCCTCAATTACAGAATTATTCCGTTCAGCTCCGCTAGCGCACCCGATCGTATTTTCCTTCCATCCTATTTCACTGCTATTATCAGAGTCGTCGCACGCAAGCTCTCCGCAAATGTAGACACTTCTGTCGTTCAATTTCATACTGAATCGAATTTGATGAATGACAAGCGTACGAAAAGACACAAAAAGATTTTTGTTTTTAAATAAGTCTGTCCGTCTACCTAATCGGAGTAGGATATCAATGTTCTCGCCAGCGCGCATCAGAGCTTTGAAAAAACGTCAAGAGACAATGGAAAGGTACATAAGACGCTTGTCTCTTTTACGTATGCATCCGACAATTACAGAGAGATAAAGATCGAGAACGAGGCAAGCTTACTTAAGGGATGTCCTTCCGCCATGATAATGAAGACGCATCGACGATCGCGCGCGTAAAAGGCGCAGCACGCGGAATTTTGATTTATGCGCGTATACATAAAATATCAGTGTCTCTTGCGGTCGCTCGCGCACTGGGATCGTTGAGTTTTTCCTTCTTGTACGGGCTCGCAGCCAATGCCCGATCACATAACCCCCATAAATTCGCTGTTCGGTCTTGCTCCTCGTAGCTGTTTGCTTTCTCTCTCTCTCTCGCTGACATTAATATGAAACAGAATCTCGGAGATCGTAGCGCCATTCCGGCCTCGGTCTTTTTCTATCAGAGCTTGCGCGCGAGGCCGCCGCAAACCATTGTGTATTCAGTGCTGCTCGCGCCCCCGAAACAAAACAGTCCTACAGCCTCTCTCTCCTTTTTGATTTATAAAGACGCATCGGGGTTTTATGCTGGCATTAATTTTGTATCGATTTCGAGAGGCCGGCGAGATTTCCCGCCGCGCCACTTTTCCACACGACCCCCCGTGTTTTCTGCCTGTGCCTCGCGCTCAGACAAACTCCCGTGTTTTATAAATTCGTCGTATATGCGCTCACACTCTGCCTTTCTGGCTTGGGCTTACGTATTTTCTTTTTTCTGTTGCAGAGAAGCAAAATTTCCCGTCGGCGTATGGACCCACGATCGACGACGGAATGGTAAGTTAGCTGTGTACACCTTCCCACAACACCTCTCTCTCTCTCTCTCTCTCTCTCTCGCGAGAGAGAGCTTTTGTAATCTCGTGAAAGCGCCGCTATTGCCGCTCCTTCCTTCTTTATTGCTCCGGCGAAATTGATTTATCTGTTGCATTAAGTAATTGCCATTTTGCACAATATGGCGACATTGGCCACAAGTTAATTTGAGAAAATGTTTATCTCTCTCCAACCTCAATCTGACTCGTCGTTGCCGTCGCCACCACCGCCGCCACGCTGCGAGGAAAGTTTTCTTCCAACCCGCCCCCTGAGCAATATTTTCGCCAACACCACCGACAAAACCCGAGAGGGTCTCTCATCCTCGCCCTTGTCGCACCAAGCTTCCCTATCCAGTTTTCTCCTTTTTTTTCTTCATCATATGAAAGCTCCCAGTATTTATGTGTCGTTAACTTTATGACGGAAAAGTTTTTAAAAATATCTGCGTCCGTGAAATTTCGTCGAATTGATTTGCTTTCGAATGCGAAAGCTCCCAAAGACAAAGTTGTTTCCTATAAAAGATACAAAGTTAATATGTTTTGCTGGAGTGGCGCAGAGGGGGGGGGGGGGTTGAGAACCCTCGGGATGCTGGGTTTAATATCGCTTATGTCCTATCTTTCTCATCTATGTGGCGATGGGACGATCTACCGTGTATGTGTGTGTATGTGTATGTATCTGTGTGTGTATGTGTATGTATCTGTGTGTGTATATAAAGAAGAAGCAGCGATGTGTGTTGCTTGCGTGCTTGCGGGCTAAGTGAAAACGTATTATAACTTCGAAATGTGCCAAATTTCGTTCTTTTGCTTTAATTATTTATATTACAAACTATTTTTGCAGAGAATATATCGATATTTATTACAGTTATGGGTATAAATTAATTGTAACAGTTCGTTTCCCATCGCTTTTAGGAGTAAAAAGTCTAATAGAGTCAGAGTTTTCTGTAGAGAACGAAGCAATTCTTTTGCTATTATTTGGAGGCATTATTTAAATAATTTATTTTAGTTATTTATAAAAAATATATAAAATTCGGAAACAATTTTAAGTAAATATCTCGCTTATTAATCACATGATAAAGGATCTCGATAATTAGTTATCTGTCATTCAGAAATCGTAATGTTATCTATACGTACACTAAGAGAATAGGAATATTTTGTAAATTTTTACTAAAAAGTATAGTTATTTGGTTACAGATTGAGTTTTTGTCGATTGTGAACCATACAGATTTGTAATTTTGGTTCATTACAAAATTTTTACCGAACTGTTTGGTAGATAATATTTCAAATGGATAGTAAATTTTACTTGATTCAAACTGAATGTTATTAATCTACGGAAAAACAAAATTATTTATAAAATAATTTTTGTAGGTTTGTGGATAAACATGTAAATATAATAATTTTCATTCATAATGATAGAGATGCACATAAAAACACAATTAATACTTCGAAAAATAGTAATATTCATCAGAAAGGAGAGTTGTATACGAAACACTGCAATTTTCGACATTAATTTTTTCAATTATGTGGTATTTAAAATCATTCCAATCATATATTTTGTCCGCAGATAAATACATATATAAATAGCCATTAAATCGACCAGTCAGAACATAATATTCGCTTTTTTACGACGTTAGAAACAAAATGACAATGTAGCTTATTTTCCGAATACTTATCTTTATTCATTTTATTTTCATTAATTTTAAGCCATTTTATAGTCATAACTTTATCAATCGTCGTTTTTGGTAATTTTTTGATATAGCAATGATAATCTTTCAAGTTTTTGAGGAATAGAATGTTTTCTTACCACGTGCATAAGTTATACAATCAGATTTTGAATTAATAAATTGAAAATGTTGCATTATGTGGTATTAAATAGCTACAGAACTATTGTACTACTTGTAGTTGATCCTGATGTCTTTCCCAATTTGATATTTTCCTTCAAATCTTCAACAACTTATTCTGCATAAAGTTCCAAATAATAACATAAATCATGGGTAGTGAATAAGAAAATGATGCTTGGACTTCATAGAATTATAGAATAATACAGTCAAATAATTATATGTTTCTTTTTTTATTATTACGATTGCAAATGATAGTATTAATATATTTTAAAGATAAATATAATTTTCACATAGGGTCATTTTCAAGTAAACTATAAATTATGGTACTTATGATATACTTATATTTTAAATATGATTTCTTGATTTTAACAGGTTTATCGACACTGTTTAATGTAATCATACGTACATATTTTATAGTTTAATTCTTCGAAAGTGAAACACCTGTTAGTAAATATTAAATAGGATAAACTTTGTGCTAAATCGTAACTATCTACACCTTCGAAAAGATTATGTATTGGATCCGAAGAACTTAATGTTGCGTTTTCTTCACACGTGCTCAATGCAATTAATCTCTGTTTACTATTGTGTTACTCGTATAAATGTCGTATAAAAAGCAATTGAACATTATGGAATTATAGAAGTATTTAACATTTCGCGAGATTAAAAACAATATTACGTGACTTTGTTGCACATTATTTAACTAACGAATGTATACTCGTTTAACAGAGTAAATTTGGAATCGCGTACGATTCGCTTGGTATGATGCTAACATTGCACGTACTCAAAAGCATGAACCATTGTGCACAGGAACAAAAGAAACATTATCGCTGGCTTGCCACTTGCTTGCAATTCGGAATGGAATATCTCGGTCTATGTGGTTACGCACATGCGCAAGACTATACAGCTGAAATATGTTGTTCAATGCAATACATCAATTGAGCAAAAAAACCACATTACCCGGTAAAATTATACAGAACAATATAGCAATTATGACATATAGGTTTTTTACTGTACTATGCAGTAAAATTTATTTGTTTTTATAGTATTTTTTATTTAATGTATAGTATTTCTTTCTATGCATTTAGTATAAATTTGACAGATAATAGCGTACTTTTATATATTTTTGTTAAAAATTACAAAAAAAGTACGACAAAAAACAGGTATTAGGATAGCTGTAACCAAATTACTATAGGTTAAAGCATAAATTCACGAAATATTTGTAAATTTGTTTGGATTATTTCTTTCATTATAGTTTCCTATATTCTTTGAGATGAAATACGCATCAAATTTCGTCGGTTTTTATTTATTTATATTACCAGAAATTTCAATAGTCGTTACATGTTACAGCTAAAAATGTTTATAAAGCTCTTTTTCAGAACATTTTGAAATTAAATATTTAATGACAAAAATATATTAACACGTTTTAAGCCAATAATAAAAACGTTTGAAAAGAAGGTATTATTTAAATACAAAAATTTTTTGTAGATGAAGTTGTGAAAATACTCGATAGATTTGAAAAAACGTTTATGGATAAATTTTAGTTGCTAATTATAAAGATAGAGTGACTCAACAAGATATTACCTACAATTGACTTTGTATACTGTTTAAGTTGTAATTAAGATTAATTCTTTATCATTGATAAGTTGAAAATGAAGTAAATAACAATACAATTGATAACCAGAAAACGGTATTCGACAATCAGCAATGATGGAATACGGACAAAATATAGCAGCAGAAAAATGCAATAAAAATATAAAGCATGAAAAATGAAAATAGCATTGAAATGAAAAAGTATAGAATGATATGCGCGTAGACACAACAAAAGGGAATAAAGTGTCGTGGGCGAGTGAAGTCTTTGAATTCCACGCGGATTTATTTCGGCTAAGTTTATTACTTTCCTTCGCGCGATATCCTGGCTTCGGAGTACAGTATCGAGAAGAGAAATTCAGCCGAGCGAAAGTCTCGATCCCGCGAGCGTGCGTATTTATAGCTCGCGAAAGGGGGTTGCAAAAGGTACAAGACTTGGCTGAACTCTCTCTCTCTCTCTCTTTACTTGCTGGCACACCGCCAAGCTTCTTCTTGACCGAATATCGCTTGACTCCAGCGAATCTACAAATTGGACTGATCGTACATCTATCATCTCGACGCCTTCCTTTTTCTCATTTCTTATACGCCATGATGAGTTGTCCGCGTTATATATTTACTCGGCTTACTTTTTTACATGCCACTTCCGGACCATGCGTTCTCGGAAGTGATTTCGTTTAGACTTATGCGATAGTTGGGCTTTCACAGACGTATTTTTGGATTATTCGCGTCGAAAAATCGACTCGTTCCGCGTAAGTGCGTCAAGACGGTTTGCAAAACAATGTTAACGCGTTACTGTTTCCTGATTGACAACGTAATTCAAAAGCCGAGAATCGATCAACACATAATTTTCATTCTGATAAATTATTAAAATTACAAAGCTCGCAGTACACTTTAAAGATATTCAGATGGTAACTCTATTGATATATCTTTTTCAAAATTCTATATACGTTAATGGCAAAAGGAATAAAATAAGGCTTACGATCGATTGAAAAGTACTTATTAACGAATAGAATAATTACCCGTTGGCCTCTTTCACTCTCAGCGAGTGTTCATTACTTTTTCACTTTCAGATATATTTCGTGTTATATCATCATTGCGATATCATTGAATAAATCCAATACCAAGTAACCGTGCGACAGCTTATTTTTTGTTGACGTCCGTCTATATCTAATCAAGCGATGGACTATATAGCCGAACCGTGACCGATAAGCTATTGATTTTCCGCGTCGGCCGATGTCACGTTCTAAGTATTTTGACACTGTATTTTTATACATTTGTCGCCGCAGGTAATCTTGATTTTACACGGTTCCGAGGTCGTAGATAGCGGCGAGAAAATGTACATCGCCGATGAGAAACTTAGGGAAAAAAGTGATACTCAGTCTCGAAAAGACAATTGAAATTAATCATCATATCAAGACTCTTTGCACGAGTTAATCCCTTTATCCACTTAATATCCATATCAACCGCGTTAAAATTCGCTCTGATCCCTAAAACACTCATGCTCGAATAGTGCCTCGCTCGGTTGTTCGCCCACGCCACTCTTCTTTCCCTCGTCTCTCTCGGGACACGTCTTTTCACCCCTTTTGTGCCAGCCGCCCCAAAGGCAGACAGCAGTGGCGCACAATTGAATCAGTATCGCGCAGCGTCTCTGACTTCGCGTGCAATCGAACGAAGCAATTTTTCACACATCAGCAGCTCATCACTTATTCCCCGCTTCTCTGTTGCAGACGTATGGAAGTGGTTTCGGCCCGGTTGCCGGAGGTCCTGGGGCTGGTCCTGGTGGGGGTGGTACGGCAAGTCCTGGCGGAGGAGTCGACGATCCAACCACCTATCCACCAGATTCGCCGTACTTCCCTTTCGGCAGTCGAGCGGCCCAACAGTCTGGACCTGCCGTCGCGAATACTACGCCAACTGGTAATGGGCCTCGGATGTCTGGTAACTATGTCATTTATATTGAACAACAAGCGCATTGGGTTTCTTTTTCGATCAAGTTATGGACACGGAATTGAATTTTCATCGACGCCTTGAGACGTGAAATGTAATCGTTAAAATTAAACGCAACATCCACGATCAATAATTTGTTAAACACGGCTTCACATTAAACGCGGAATGTCATTAAAACGCCAAGGCGAAAGATCGCTCATTAATTCGTCATTATAATCGCAATGAAGAAAAGACTCTCTGCACCGGGAGGCAAATATCTTTCACTAACAATCTTAAAGCAGCGCATTAATGACTTGATTAAGACAGTCGAGGTAAAAAAAGTCGGTAATGATCTTAAGATTTTTTAATTAGCTCTCTCTTAATTTATATCTCTTCGACATTTATCCTGTTTACGTAGAGTTCCGAAGTACACGACGGATCGATTATTATTCACAATTAAGTCAGTGGATTGATAAATCGATGCATCTCGTGCAGATGCTGCTCCTTACCTTTAGTTATAAGTCATTTATTGATAACGGCATCGATAACGACCAAGTAACAGTGTAAGATCGTCAAAAATTATTTTCAGGTGCAGGCGCCAACACCAAGAAGAAAAAGGATGTAAGTTTCACTTTAACATTACACATTTACACGACCGAAAGTAAGCTCAGACGGCGAGGCGATTGCGAGAATACTCGGTTACGAAAATTCGCGAGGCGGGCAAAAAGTTGGAAAGAAAAAAGCAATGGGAGTTGCGCATCCGAATAAGTCGATCGCGCGCGAGAGGAAGAAAGAGCGGCGCGCCAGTGCATACGCGTACAAAGTTTCGGGAGCGAAAGCGCAAATAAATTGCAGAGTTAGCCCTCGCGCACCTTAAAGCGCGCGCGCATTCTCATTCGCGAAGTAATTGCGATTTAAATTATAGCTGACTCGAATTTCCGTAGGCATGGCAGTGACGTTAACCAGCGAGCAGTCGCTTCGGCGTGGCCGTCGATTATCGTGATTATCGTTATTACGCCGAGAGGGTACGCGCGCACGCACGCGCGTGGCGATACGCGCACGGTGCAGCGACGTGCATGTACCCCCCCCCCCCCCGCCGGTCGTCGTAATATGTCGTGCGTGCTTGCCACGTGTTTTGCGCAATTGCCACGTGCTTTCACCGAACGCGCCGTGTGCTCGCGATAAATAACGGGCCGAAGCCGCACTTGGAATAAAAACAACCGGGGAAGAGAGTGAGCTTACCGCCCGACGAAAGTCACCGAGTCTTTTCACTGTTTGATCGCCGCCGTCGTCGCGCGACAGTATCCGATCGGCAGGATCTCTCTTATTAGCCTGATTATTGATGGCTCGTGTGCTTTTATTTTTGCCGTTGCTGTCGCCAGCCGAACCTCGAGGCAGCCGATGGAGAAGTCGTCACGTCACAACACTGGGTGAGTATGGCTTTTAATCATCAAGCATGTTGCGTATACATTATTCATGCGTAATTGCTGCCGATCGACATTTAAGAAATGAGTGACTATGGACTTCGAATAATGCTTTCGTCGCCCTAACGACCTCGATTTATCAATGGTTCAATTGAAATTCATCTGGCCGCTACCTCGCTACGTACTCGATCCTCATTTCCCGGCCAATAATGTTCGAGCGCAACGCTCATCGTCGTATTCAATTTGCGAAAACTGGAGGTAAATTGGCGGCAAACTAGGCATTGGAGATGCATGCGTTTCAGGCTCAACCAGCGACAAGCTCCGGAAGCTGGACATTGAAAAGGGAATAAAAGAAAGCGCGAGAGAGGTGGCTATCTAATTAAGAAGCTCGCGCTTCTGTGAAGTCGTGTGAGATTCCGCGGAGATAGCGTGTCCGGCAGTAGTTGCGTCAACGACGACGGCGAAGAGATACGTTAATGTATGATTCAGTGTACGCGCGACAGAGCGTCGTCATCGTTTTTCGTTGGAACGTCGCCTCGTCGGCACTTGACTGCGCGGGGGTATATGTACATGCCTCCTCTGTTTTCCCATGCGTCTAAATTTTCCCTTCCGCTCTCCCTTCTGTCTCCCTCCCTCTCTCTCTCTCTCTTTCTTGCTCTCTCGCTCTCTCGTTGGAACTCGTTTTTTGCCTCCGACAGGTCACGTTCTTTTTGGATTTTTTGCTCATTTAACTTGAGGGAGAGAGGCATTTCTAACGGTTATTATCCGATGCGTAGTACTACTACGTTTGTTTTGGCCTTTGACTTTTTTTATCCAGAAGATTTTTATTGAGCTCCGAACTTGAAGCCCTAAGATGGCTACGCAAACGATGCTGTGTGTGCGCACATGATGGATGCGTTGAAAGATTTGATGCTTGAACTGGAAAATATATAACTTTATGAATTATAAATAGACATCGGGCTTGGAAGAAGAAATGTCGAGGAATCCGTTACGTTTAAAGAAAAGAAGTTTAAAAGCGAGAATGAAACGATAGCAATTTCATATAAATGCGATAGCCAGCATTAATAACGATAAAGACATGTTTTATCAGCAGAATTTCATAGACTGCGCTCAGTCCATCTAACTGCGTAAGCGCGATCGATAAATTAGCGTTACACCCTGAATAAAACAATACTATCGATTGACAGTGCAGGCAAGCGTGAAGTACGCTCGACTGGAGTTGAAGCCAATTTATAATAATGCAGCGTTTAAACGAGGGCACGTTAAAGTTTCGCATTACGTCAAGGGCTGATGCGATTTTGATAGATCGGCAACGGCCGCGACAGGTTAAATAGTCGCGCGCGTTTCTCTCCACGGGATGTTTTGCGCCCGCGTCACAAGGCTATAAATTGCTGTCGTACGCGCGGCGCAAAATTCGCGATTAACTTTGCAACAACGGATCAGGCGCGGATAGACGTTAACCATAGTTCGATGCAGTTGCCACACAGACACACGCAAACTCGTTGTCAGCTTGTAATTTACGCGAGCGCGCGTGCGCACGTCGCGGTCTTTCGCGAGTAAGCGGAGAAGCGTGAAACGGGGAAAACAACTACTTGGCTTTTGTTTAGACTGACACCGGAGAAAGACTACGGCAATTAGATATCTCCGTGGCAGTAGCACTGTAACGCTTAAAAAGCGACTGCTTTTATTTCTGCGGACGGTGCAGCGATCGATTCAATTTCACTTTCGTTTTTTCTCCCCCCCCCCCCCCCCCCCTCTCCTCTCTGTTTGCATTTGGCTCGCGCAAGAGACACTTGATTATTGTTCATTGTTTCAATTTGTCGGCAAATAATTACTTCTGCGGGCAAACTGGTCGGTTAATTAAATTGGTGCGCACCGACCTAAATTTGCGTGCGCGAATGGTTAATCGAAATTATTTTCAACAAGTATTTCTAATTACGCAGGCTGGTCGCTTTAAAAATTTCTGAAAAATCGCAGAGCCAATCGAAACCCACCGCGCCGATGCGCAAAAATAACCACGCGGATTTTTATATCGATGATATAATGGTCGCGGGGCTGCCGTCACTGCAGTGCAATAAATTAATCAGGAATGACATTTACACTGGAGTAAAGAGAGAGCAAGGGGATGCTATTGGTACTCATGATTTGCGCGTCAATATTTAATGGAGGTCCAAGGCGCACTCGAAACTAATCCCCAGTGGCCACTAAAAACTCTCGCTCTCCCTTCACAAATTCGCTTAACGCACTGATCGAAGACGAGCACTTACTCTTTCCGCGTGTAAGCCGCGTCCATAAGAACATCGGGGAATACAGTAAAACTCTCGCCGTGTCTGGGCCGATGAAACAGCGGGAAGTTGGTGAGACACGCTGCCCTTGTTTTCCACTCTCCCCTTGTCGATTATTTCCCTTTGTCTTCCGAAACCCCGGATAAAGCGCTGCTAGTTAGGGGGGCGCTTTGTGCGTGCGTGCGCGCAGGTTTTTTTTTTCCGAAAATGTTGTAGGTGCGTGTATCGTGTCTCTCGGCATTCGTTGGACGCCGTGTACGCAGGGGGTTCAAAACAGATGTTGGAGAGGAGGGAGGAGGGTGGGTGGTAATAGCCGATCGCCGGATGCGATAATTGAGCTGCCGCCACCATTGCAACCCCCGCCATCGCACGTTAATCTAGCTTGCAAATTTTATCGCCACGACGGCTAATGAAAAATACATGTTTTCGGATAGTTTTTAGCAGGAAGTTGGACGGTCAGCGGGCCCCAACTTGCCGGTGCGTGAACGAGAAGCGGGGAAGTGAATAAATTTCCGAATATAGGACAGCCTAACTGCCTGCAATTAGTTACGCGACTCGACTCGAGCTTAAGGCCTTCGCGAGTTTGCACAAAACACGTTCAAAGCCCGCCACTCCGGTTCTCATTTTTCCTCTTTCCCAAAAGTTTTAGAGTGTCGTTCGAGTTACCGCAATGCTTCGCGATGTTTTTCACTCTTCTAGAGCCAGCCAAGCTTTACAGATTTGTCACGTCAACGACGAACCAAAATTATTGTCAGTCCAGTCATAAAGACGTAACTTGACGGAGAGCAGTTAATTTGCGGATGCAGCGAAACCCCATTTAGCGCAGCGCGAGAGCAATAACGTGAAGGTGTGAGCGCGCGCGTGTTTGTATGTTTGTGCTTGCGCGCGTGTGTATTGGCGAGAAAGTGAAACCGGCGAGGAAATCTGTTTGATTTTGATTACAACGTGCGGAGGGAGTGCATATAGCGCAGATAATGGATCTCGATAGCAAGTGCCGAATTGGCTGCGAACCCGCCGCCGGTAATTCCCGCACGCAGTGAAACGGGCGTTTCTGTGATTACCGAGAAAACAGAGAGAAGGGTTGACGCTTTGCGCGCACGCCTCCCCAACCCGCCTCTCTACTTTCTCCTGGAAATCAATGGAAGCTTGCGCTCGCGAATTTCCGTGATTACAAAGCAAACAGCTCGAGCTTAGTCGAGCGACAAAGCGGCCCGACACGAATTCCCCATGCTTATAATACTGACGCCGCGCTGCCCGCCACCGCACTGCGAGGTCATATTCCCTTTCTTTTGATCCGTCCAACGTTCACCCTCTTTTCAGTCGCCCACGACACACACGCGCACACACACACGACACATCCGCGCGCGCGCGGGCGAGCTTTTAATGTTTTGTGCACACACCGCATAGCAGTCGTTTAAGCTGTTTGCTGGACGCGCTCCGCTTTTCAAACCGCTCTCCCCGTTGCCGCTTTTCCTATATGCTTTTCGCGCAACAGATTGTTTATCCAACGGCCAATTCACGGGATCAGTGTCAGTCGTCGAGTTCTTGATAAAATCGCACGTAATATCGGTTGGTTCAAACGGCACGTTCTCTACTCCGCTGCAAGCTCCGCTGCGTTTCATCCCGCACCTTTAATCGGTTTAACAATTTCGAAAAATATATCGGGCTGCTTGCTCGTTCGATGAAAACGATCAAATTCGAAGGCACCAATCGAGCTGTCGAGTATATGGAGTGCATTCATCCGTGAAGAAGCTATTACACTGTATAATAGGCATTCGCGTCTTGGATATAGTGATTATAGCCACGCCATAGATATCAGTAATCATCTTATGTATACATCGGCCGTCCGAACGATACGTCAATAATTTCTGTCTTGGTCTCAGCTGCTATACGTATGTCGCAATAAATAGTGAAACAAAGCTCACCGGCCATTTATTATTGAAACGCGGCTGCGATATAAAAGCCAGACCGTCGCCGACTTTATCATCAAGCGAGCATTAAAACATCGCGTCAATCGCTTACATACTTGACTCGATAATTCACCACCGCCGACGAAGTGTTCGCGGAACAAAAGAGCGCTATTTTTTTTTCGCGAGCTTTCCATAAATCCACTCCGATAAATTGATCGAGCCCGGGGCTAAATTGTCCGCCTCCACTACTCTCCAATTGTTTTCCCGCTCTCCCCGCGCGCCATCGTCGAGGCTTTTTTCCCGCGGCGACCACATAATTTATTCAGCCCGCGCTCACGTTTCTCGCACGATTACATTTCTATTAGGGATATGGCCGAGGCAAAAGCTCTCTCGCGAGAGAGAAAGTCGCCAAGGGGCTCGTACAAAACCACCCCAACGTTTTGCGCGTGTCCTTGTACGATACCTACTTAGGCCTTGTTCGTCGTCACCTTATCCCATGTCCACTAACTGTCTCGAGTAACGATCGTCCCTTCCTTCCTCCTTTTTTTTATATTTCACACGCCCTTAGAGCCCATGAGAATTTGTCAGCTTGGGGCGACGACCAACGTATCGGTTGAACGCGTACGTTGTCGCCATTACGACGATTTAAGAATGTATTAATGATTCCTGCATTGACGGATAGTTTCCGAAATCCCACGACCTTTCGTGCATTTCCGCCGTTTGATAGCGAAAAACTGAGCAACTATTTCCTTCGGCGTGTTGTTCAAAGGATTGCGTCACATACGCGTAATGACGGTAATGGCGGTACTCG